GCATTCTGCTGCACTACTGGAGGAAGCTGATGAGTATCATGATATCATTACACTGCCGATGAATGATGCTCTGCCAACAACGAAGAAAACAATTGGTACTCCTGGTCATTGGGGTACCGAGGCTGGGATACTCTTGACTCGTAAGCTGTACTTTTGGTTTGAGTTGGCACTGCGAGTATTCCCGAATGTGAACTACATTTCGAAGGGAGACGATGACATGTTCCTGCGAGTACCACTGTTCCTGGCTGATTTACACACACTACCCAGGCGAAGGGTGTATTGGGGAATGCCTCTGGGTTGGAGTGTGCGGAAACGCAGAATTAACTACCGTTTTCGATATGCTGCTGGAATGTGCTATACCCTCTCAAGGGATGTGGTACAGCAGTTTGTTTCTTACAAACCACTCCAACGTCTCGTAGAGATGCCGTACAGTAAAATGCGTGAACCGAAGTTTCTCTCGCTTAATATGCAAGATGAGGATAAAGTGGTTGGTCAGGTGCTGCGTGTTGAGCAACGTCACCATCACTCTATTTTCGTCGGTGCTGCACCGTGCAGCTTTCACGATATTCTTAACGACACTGGGCACTATTCTGTCACATGGAGGTCTGTTGTTATTCACCACTTGCGCGAGGATGACTATGGGAAGCTGATGGAGCGGTTTGGCAACGACACGACACATAGCTCTAGACTGGAAATGGTGCGTGGTCGTGGATATATTCAGTTTGTTTGTTAGCACTACCACGGATATGGTACACATAATCTCTGTGCAAATGTTTTTGATTTTCCCTTTTTTCTTTTATTTGCTTTTGATTCTCTGGGCTGGATACATTTTTGAACTATTAAGTACACCCCTCTTATCTCTTGATTTCATTATTGCTTCCGGGACTATGCTTCCCTAATTTACTTCAAATGAATATCTTGATTTGCTCCTAGTTGACTACTGTTGAGGTTTTTAACTCCTTTCGCTCTTTGTCACCCTCTCTTTACATCCGTCTCCATGACATTCTCAATACTCTGCTTTAATTTGTAAACATAAAGATAGAGCTATAATGGCAAAGCGTCGTCCACGAAAGGTAGTCATCGTCACAGGCCTTTGTTTGGTGATTCTTGTGTTGCAGGCATTCACTGCATATCTCTACTATGATGCTTTTAGAGCGGTCACTTCGAGTGGGTATCCCTCTGATACATCGTTGAACGTCACTGCCGCCGTAAAGCCGCATAGCCCAGATG